TTCCCTATTGTAATCTGCTAATAACATATGCTTTTATCCTCTACCCACTTAATATTTACCTAAGAATTATGCCCAGATATCCCAGTTTAAGAAATATATGTGAACTGGCATTTTGCAACTTTCCAAGTACGCAAGGGTACCTGGAACTATTTTCACTCAATTTACACTACTTTTGTGCAAGTGACACTTTTTACCATTATTATGGTAAGAACATTCATTATTTTTGCTCATTATTTTAGGGATCATTTTCCTTCTGTCTGATAAACGACCTTTAGACTTTGTTGGCCAAAGTGTTTTTCAGTCTCACATTTCCTTGAAAATGTCTCAATGAGGTCTCCATGCGTACTGAGGTGCTAGACCGACTCTTGCAGAACTTTGAAGACACTTTCTCATCATCTTCAGTTTTCATCATTTCTGTAATTAATTTTCTTCCTTCTTTTCCTGTGAAACATTTAAAAGAATAAGTTTTATTTTATGTGTGCGTTCGTGTGTGTGTGTGTGTGTGTGTGTGTGTGTGTGCCTGAGTGAAGGTGTGTGTACCATTGTGTGTGCCTGAGGATGTAAGCAGAGGGAATGAGTTCCCCTGGAACTGGAGTTTCAAGCGGCTCTATGCTGTGCTGTAGGTACTGGGAACCAAACCTCGCTCCTCTGCAGGAGCGTTGGCACTCTTGAATGCTTCTCCTGCTCCTGTCTGCAGTTTCAGCAGTATCCTGTGGTGTGCTTAGATGTTGTTTTCCCTGTAGTTACTCTATTTAGGGTTGTCGAGCTTCCCAAGACTGAGAACGGGTGGCTTTTTTTTTTTTAATCAAGTCTGGACAGTTATCAACCAGTATCTCTAAATGTTTCTATTTCCTTCACCCTGTCCCTTAGCTTTTATTCTCAAAGTCCAGCCAAGAATAATCTGATGCTTTGGAGACTCCTGGCCTTTCCGTTGTAATGTTACACTGCTGCTCACCATGCTTCAGTCTGGATGTTGTTGACTCACCTAGAAACATAAACTTCTGTTGCTAATATGTTTTCATCTACTGTGTATAAACTACTATAATGCCATTTGTTAAGTTTGCAGTTTCTGTTAGCAATGGATGGAAATCTTTTTATTAAGATGTTTTGTTATATGTATGTATGTGTATACATGTATATATGTATTGTATGTATGTGTTCACCCGCATGCTTATATGTGAACCTTGTGTGAGCATGCCTGAAAGAGGGTTCAGTGGTCAGAGGATTTCAATGGAGCTGGCTGCTGGGGTTATTGAGGGTTTCCATCTCCAGCTCTTTCTCCGTCTGCAGGCACTCACGGGTCTAACGGAAAGTCTGCCATTTCCCAGTGCCAAGCCTCCATTTTTCCCCCTTTGGAGGTTTTCACTGAGTTTTGCTTTTCCACATACCCCTAAGACTATAAGGTCAGCTTTCTCTTGAATCCAGAACAGACAACACTTACACCAAAGCTCCAGCTGGATTTCTCCAGGAACATAGGAATGATACTGTGTTGCGGACATTTGGATCCACTAAGGCACCCAGAAGCCAGGTTTCTCCTTCTGTTCAATAGCCATTGCTAGTCTGACGGTTTACAATGGGAAACCCCAAGGGTGGTTCCTCCTGTGTGTTGCTGAAGCATCCCTGCCTTGATCTCTGCTCTGGTTTTTTTGGGCAGTCCTTGCCTCATTCATAGTCAGAGGTGTCTGCTGACAATCTGGGGCTGAGTTTTTTTTACTCTCATTTTTAGTTACTTTTTCTTTTCAATGTGTCTTTTCCTGAGGGTATATTTATCTTAGTTTGACCTGTAGTTACTATCTGGAAGCTAGAAGCCAAGAGTTCACAGCTAGGGTGTATCATGAAAACAGTAAAAGAACTTAAGTTTAAATTTGAAAGCCTAACAAGTAGGTATCTCATGTGCATCAGTTTGTCATGGACATTGGGCTCCTCCAACCCATCCTACCTCTTGTATCTACCATGGGTCCCCTTTTCATTGTCCTGGATAATTACCATCCTTGCAAATCTGCTCAGGTCAGAAGTCTAAGTGGAGGCAGCAGTGAAGGACAATTGTCAGTTGCCTTTGTATCTGATCAATCCCTGATTTCATTGGTTCAGCTCTGGTACTGCCACTTCCTTCCCATTCCCACTCTTCCCTATGAACCTACACCATCCTTCATCTAAGCTGATGGTCCTGGTATCATTCCCTTCTGAAGCATCCTCTGTAGGCAGCGTTTTCTGTCCCATCAGTCGGCTCTGTCCCACCATCTAGCTCCAAAATAACCACACAGAGACTTGTTGTTAATTATAAATGCTTGGGCAATAGCTTAGGCTTGTTACTAACTAATGCTTACATCTTAAATTATCCCATGTTTCTTATCTATGCTCTACCACATGGTGGTACCCTTTTTCAGCAAAGGCATGTTCATCTCCTGCTTCCACTGCATCTGGCTGGCAACTCCACCCCCTTCTTTCCCGTGCTCTCTTTTTGTCTGAAAGTCCTGACTAACCTCTACCTGCCTAGCTATTGGCCAGTCAGCTCTTTTTTTTTTTTTTAACAGTAAGAGCAGTACATCTGCACAGTGTACAGAAGGATTGTTCCACAACATTCCTCATTAGATATTAGGTAATTTTAATAGTAGAAATTTGAGCATGTTATTCCCTACTTACAACCATCTAGATTCTGCCCAGACTAGGCAGATCTACAGAGGCCTGGAGTTGCTTAGGTTGCCAGAGACTGGGAGAAATGAGGACTGGGCAGCCAGAGTATCAGCTGTGGTTTCTGTTGGGACAGTGAAAATAATCCACAACTACCTAGTGATTACAGAGGACACACTAAATGAGACTAGGTTGTACACTTTAAACTGATTAAAGATATAACTTTATGTTAAGTGTACTTTACTGCAATTTAAAATAAACCCCAAATCTAATCTGTTCTCCCCAGCACATCCCAGCAGGTGTGTGTCCTGTGGTTGCTTGTCCAGTCAGCCCTCCTCAGTCTCACTCTGCTACTTAGGGAGTGGGGCTGCATATAGAAGTCGTGCATGCCTGCTGTTTCCTGCACATGCAGGAGCAGATTCCTCCTTGGCAGGACAGTCAAGCATCCATGCACCCCTGCCCACCCACTGTCCACAAATCTTTTCCCCAAAGACCCCTGAGAAGTCAGCTCTCACATGTCTGTACCATAAGGCCATTGTGAGTTTCCCTGTGTTCTGGCAGCCAAAAAAGTCCCAACTGGGAAGCCTTTCCTTCTAGATCCACACCTCTAGATCCAGGGAGAATCGAATCATTTACTGAAAACTAAATTGGAATAAAACTCTAAGTGTTTGTATAACCCTTTTAAAATTCATGGCACACTTATGACCCCCCAGAACATCTGGAACGCATGAGCTTAGAAGCTCCCAAAATACATCATTTCTGGGGATGAGGCTATTTCCATCTGGGGAGCCTTGAGATTAATCTTGTCACATTTACATATGTAATCACAACCCTGCCACATTTTGTCGCACACCTCTGAAAGCTGCTGAGTGGCTTGCATCCTTGATTTGTGAGTCGTGAGACTTAGCTATAAAAAAAACCGAATGTGTTATTTTTCAGCACTCATAAATTTATTTTTGAGGTTGATGTTGGTAAAACTCTGTATGTGGATCAGCTTGGGAACTTGGAGCCATGGGAAACAATCTTGTGCCTATAGAAGCTTATCTTTCCAGTGTGAAGGACGCTGGGTCCCATGTCATTGGCTCATTCCATATGGCAGCTCACAAATAGACCAAGGTGAGATATATCACAGAGGAAAGTGATTAAATAACTCCCTTGTGCTCCTCACCACTGAATGATGGAGGATGTGGAGGGTACCCAGGCTCAAGGATATGTGAGTAGACAGAAGGAGAACAGATGCCCAGGGAGGATGGAATTGGACTGAGCTTGTATCACCTTGGCATCGATAGAAGACCCCTGCTTCCCTGCAGAACAGATAAAGTACTGATGCAGATCACAGCAGGTAGTCCTTGGATGGACCACTCCAGTCACACTTTAGAATTGCTAGTGATGCAGATTCTCAAGACCCTCCGTGGACCCTCAGAATAGGAAAATGCAAATATTTTTATGCACATCCAAGTTGAGCACTCCTCAAACCACTCTTTTAAACCAAGATTGTTCCTATGATGGTCAGAACACCAAGTGTTCCAGGGTAACCAGGTTAAAGCAGATGTTTTTACTCTAGGGCTCCTTTAAAATCAATTTACTTTATTTATTTGTGTGTGTGTGTGTGTGTGTGTGTGTGTGTGTGTGTGTGTGTGTGCAGGAACACATGAAGCTGTCAGAAGAAGGGAACAATGTCCTCCTTCTCCACTCTGTGGCCTGGCATCTTATGTTTGTGCTAGGGTCTTCACGCCATCCTTCATAATTTCACAGCCTGCCCACATACTACTGAGCCATCTCTCCAATACCAACTCCAGGGTTTTGATACAGATCATTATTGGACAAGTAATGTTAACAACAAATAAATGTTTATTCATTTTGTGACACATAGAGTGAACCCAAGACCTCTACAGGACTAACATTGATTGTATAGTCAGGCACCTGTGCTAAGTATTCCGTATGCAGGAATCCAGTAAGCCTCCACACGGCTCACAATGAACCAAAGAGGAAGCATTTCTCTCCTTGTTGGACAGTCAAACCATGGTGCTCGTGCTGCTGGGAAAGCAAGAGAAGAAATACCTACCTGCTGCAATGGGCCACAGGCAATTTAACCCTCTACTAAACAGTACTGACCCAAACATTTCCTAAATGATCAGGATATCTAGAATCCGAGCTGGACAGGGTTTGATGCAAAGGTTAAGGGCAGGCATGACATGAAGTCAGAGAGGCCAAGCTTTTCATTCCATCTGAGTCATCGTGTGTGTGTGTGTGTGTGTGTGTGTGTGTGTGTGTGTGTGTGTGTGTGTGTGGAGGGTTTAATCTGAGTTTATGTTGTCCATGTATTGATAACATGTACTTCTCTGTGTTCTTTGTCTTTGTTCATCAAGGTAATTGTTCGAGGTGGAGGACACATTTTGCCCTATGACCAGCCGCTGAGATCTTTTGATATGATCAATCGATTCATCTTTGACAGAGGATGGGAACCTTACAATTCATAAACTCCTTTCCATAAACAGTTATGAATTTTAATCACAAAAGATTTTTTAAAAAGATGTCATGTAAATAAGAAACATATCTTTTTATATTTGCAAGGTATTTCTTATCACTAAAAGTCAAGCTGAAATGCATGACCTTTTGATTTTATCTCTCCTAAATGAGAATCACATCTTGATTTAGGATATGGGAAAAATGGGTTCTGGATGGAATATCTAATCCTTCCCAGGACAGAAAGTTCAATAAATTAATAGATTCATGACAACATCTGGTTCTGTAAATAATGAAACAGTTTATCTCCAGACACATCTGTACTAGGGACTTTCCTGTTGCTCTGACCTGCCATCCAGAAACAGCTGAGGGAAGGAAGATTAGCTTTGGCTGGTGGTTTCAGTCCTTCCCTGCAGGAAAGGCACAGCAGAGGCTCAGTCCATGGCGGCAGGAGTGTGGAGAGAGGCTGTTCACATAGTGGGGGCCAGGGAGCAGAGAGGGAGGCTGGATGCTGGGCTGGGTTGTACCTTCAGAATTCACGCCTTGGTGCTCCCAGCAAGGCCCCATATCCTAAAAGTTGCACAGACTCCTGAATCAGTGTCACCACACGGGAAATAATAGTTCACAGCATGAGTGTGTGGGGACATTTCAGATTCAAACTATAACAGCCTCCGAGGGGGTTGATGAATATTACTATGAAAACAGCTGAGCATCCCAAAGGAGAAGATGAAGGTGTAACAGTCTCTGGAAGGGACTTTGAGCACACAAAATCTCAGCATAGAAGGTATCATGTAATTCTCAGGAGCAGAAACTGTCCTTGTAGAAGAATGGTATGTCACTAGCTCTGGATAAGCAGGGGATGTGATGCAGAGAGCACACTCAATCTGCCTTTTCTTTTTTGGAGTTCGCTGGCTCAATTGAGTTGTACACATTCTGTAAGCAGCCTGCAGGCTATGTTAGAGCTTCTTAAATCTGAGTTTTTAATTCTCTGCTTTCTGTAATAAAATGAAGAGCAACCTAATCTTATGTCATTGTTGGAATTAAAATTGAGCTAACCTGGCACCAAAATATAGGTATTTGGGGAATACACTCATTAGCATTCTCATGACAAAACGGTCACATCCAGATGTATTTTCCTTTTGACATACACATCTCTGAAATTCTACAGCACATTTAGATTTTCAGCATGTATTACCCAGGTATGATTTGGTGTTGCTCAAATTTCTAAAGGTCTTATAATAAAAACCCTGTACCAGATATTGTGGTAAATGCTGAAAAATCAGAGACAAAGGAACAAGCCACTGCCATGTCTCACCTCTCCAATTCCATGAATCCTCTGTTTGAATGTCTCTGAGTTCTCAGCAAAAAGGGGTCCTCTCAGCTGAAAGGCTTCAGCCCAAAGAGCCTAGCCAAAAAGCTTCTAGCTGAAAGGGATGCTTCTGCCGAAAAGCCTTTAGTTCCTGTCTCCTCACGCCTTGTATATTTTCTCTGTCCAGTCATCACTTCCTGGGATTAAAGGAGTGTGTACTTCCCAGTACTGGGATTAAAGGTGTGTGCCACCAATATCTGGCTCTGTTTTCTCTCCTAGACTGAGTCAAAGTCCAGGGTGGCTTTGAACTCACAGAGATCAGACAGCTCTCTGCCTCCGGAGTGCTAGGATTAAAGGTGTGTGCCACCACTGCCTGGCTTCTATGTTTAATCTAGTGGCTTTTCCGTTCTCTGATCTTCATGCAAATTTTGTTAGGATACACAACATATCACCACTGTAGATGTAACCAATCGTATTATTAAAATAAGAAACACAGAGCCAAGGTAAAAGAGAAAAGCCGAGAGGTCAGAGCTCAGAGATAAAATCTTACCTCCTGCAGTGCTCCTAGCTTCCCCGAGAGAGGGAGGTACTTCCTGTGTCCCTGTTTAAATA